AATTACAATAGAGTGTGTGGAATCTTCCCAAAAGGCCAGTGCTGGGTGCTATAGGAACACATAGTGGGACTACTTTAGCTAATTTAGGGGTCAGAGGATGCCATCTTGAGTAGACATTGAAGTCAACACTAATGATGACTAGGAGATGGGTAAACGTTTATGGCAAGTAGTGTAGGGTAAAAATGTAACATTCAAAGACAGCAGCATGTGTCGAGGGTCAAAGAGGAGAGAAACGAAATGAAAAGTAAGTTCAGAGTTGGAGTTTTGAGTAAAAAAAAAAATAGAGTTGGAGGGGAAAGGAAGAGTCAGGCTGGAGAGAGCTTTGACAATCACATTAAAAACTGTGAGTGCTTTGATAAGAGCAATAGGAGACCATGAACAAGTTTTAAGCTTGGGAATAAAACCATCAAATTTTATTGTAGGAAAGAGGAGATGGAATTGACAGAACTTGTCAAAATACTAAGGAAGATCATCGGGTAGTCAAGGATGACAGTTTTTGGCTTGGCAACTGGGTAACTAATTTCCAGTTCAATAAATTCCTCCGCGGCTCTGTGGGGCCTGCACGAGCAGCCTCCTCTCTACAGTCTCGCCTCTGCCGTTCTCCTGTCCGCATCACCACCCAGCAACACTGGTCTTTCCTTTCAGCCTCAGCTCCTTCACATGTGTGAGTCCCTCTGCCTGGATTGTCCGATCTAAAGTGACCTCCACCCCAGGCTGCAAATCACCATTCTAATCCTATCCTTCGTTTTCTTTCATCCTGTCATTACTGTCTAAAGTAATCTTGTTTTCGTGCTTTCTGGCTTATATTCTTTCTCTCCCCCTATCAGAATGGACGCTCCAGGGGCCTTCTTCCTCTTTCTCCCCTCCCCCTACTTTTTATTAGCTTCATTTTTTGCTTTCCCTTCTTTAAAAAAACTCCACCATCAGCTCTCAGAATGGATATGTACAGAATTAGTGCTCATTCATATTTGTTGACTAAAGGCCTGAATGACAGGTGAAGATGAATTCAATGTCAAGACATATTTCGATTGGAATGCCTATGGGAGGCTTGCAAACAGGGATGACCAGTAAGCAGCTGACTGGATGTTTCTTGAAGACAAACCTGACTTGGAGATGTAGATTTGGGAGTGGTCGGCATAGAGGTGGGGATTGGAGTTGGGAGAGCGGTTGACAAGGCTCAGGGAGTTGAATAACCTGAGCAGTTTACACTAAACCAAGAGGGCCCCCGCACAACAGGGTGAGAGGGAGGGAGGGAGAGGGCAGCTTGCCGATCCTCCCTGCCCAGGAAGACCGCTTACCTTTGGGGAAAAGGTACAGAACTAAATTACTTCTATGAAATATCTTAAAAGGCACCAACACTGTGATTTTTGATACACATGATTCCATGATACAGGAGTCACGGAATTATGCAAGGGATATATTATCAGGGAAAAGGAGCTTGAAGCCATTGGCTTAGGCTGCCACCAGTTACCCTGTGCCCCCTTATACCTACAGTTGGTTATACCTGCTATCACCTTCTGTTTATTATTCAATACATTGCAGCTGGCTTCTGCCTCCATTACCACTAAAATTGCTCTGGAGTCTTCCAGTGTGGCCAAACCCAAGGTCCTCTTCTTTGCATTTATCTTAATCCCTCAGTGTGGTAAACCATTCCCCTCCCCCTCTTTTTCTGTACATTTTAAAAGATTTGTATTAAAATATAGCTAACATACAATATTATATTAGTTTCAGGTATACAACATAGTTATTCAACAGTACCCATCTAGCACTATATAGAGTTATTACCACATTATTGATTATATTCCCTGTGCTAAAGAAGTGATAAGTCTAGCAACCATCTGACACTGTACCATGCGATCACAATATTATTGATCTCCCCTCCCTCCTTTTTAAATTCTTCAATTAGAGTTGACATTCAATATTATTTTATATGATTTTCAAGTGTAAAGCATAGTGGTTAGACATTTGTATAATTTAGGAAATGATTCCCCCTGACTAGTATCACCTGCAACTATATATACTCATAGTCATTACCATATTATTGATTATATTTCCTATACTTTACATCCCATGACTATTTTGTAACTACCAATTTGTATTTCTTAATCCCTTAACCATTCCCCCTTGATTTGCTGATGTTTCCTGTCCTGGTGGCCTTCCCGGCTCAGTGGTCTCTTCCCCTCAGTCTGCTTTGCTAGATTCCTCTCCTATTGGGATTTCTGAGGACAGGGCTACTTCCTGCGTTCTCTTCCTTTCTCCCATGGATCTGGATAACTTTATTTTGCTGATGACTCTTACATTTGTGTCTTTGGGCCAGGTTTTTCACAGAATGCCATATTGGCACATTGTGGGGGAATTAAACTTCCCTGAATTCTCAGCGCTTCTGTAAGAAGCCCTAGTCTCCTGACATACAGAAATGTATACAGGGAATGTTTACTATCACTTCCCTGAGAAACTTTTACTTTTCACATATCATGAGAATTAGATCTATAGTTATTTATTTAGTTAATGGCTCTGATCCAAAAGAATAATAAAACTTATCTTCTGACATGGCCAGATGGTTATAGCCAGAACTACGTTCCTAGGTTAAGACCCAAAGTACCAGGAATACTGGAGCACCCTTTCCTTAGGTAATTACAAGTCAAAAGGGATGATGTCCAGAACTTGAAGACATCTCTAAGTAAAAGACAGGGACACCTGGGGTTTCTATAGCTTTTGGAAAGACACATAAAATTAAATGACAGAAGATTAGGGGAAGGACCCAGGATTTTTTCAATCCTGTCTCAGAGTAGTAATTAAAAAAAATCCTTTCAGGAGGAGAGAAATATGGCTATCCTTGTCCTGTGTATAAACAGAAAACCTATCACTCTCCCTTCCTTGTGTATGGAATATAATCTGCCACTCACATAAAAAGATTGTCAGCTTTCTTCTTGTTGCCTATGGGTCTGCATGTGGGGCATAGACGTGCAGTGTTACTCTGGCTGTTGAGCTGGTTGTGAATGTCAATAAAGAATTCTTTTCCCTGACCCAGGTATCTGTGTGTCTGCCGTGGTCATAGATACATAAAAAATATGCCTATGCAAGTAGTGGGATAACACCTCATCCCTACACAGTTCTTGACAAAGCACATACCTGGCACAACTGCATAGAAGGTTAGCACAATCTTGAAATGGACAAGTCAAAAACTGAAGTCTAAAATTTCTCCCCAAATATATTTGCATCTTCTCTCAGCAATGGGCGTCACCGTTCACCCAGCCATTCAAGCCAGACATTGAAGAGCCAGCATTGATCTCCGCCCACCCCTCTCTCTCTCATCCTCAACTTTCATGTCATTAAGTCCTGTTAACTTGACCTCCAAACTGATTTTGAATTGGCTCTGTTCTCTCCATCTCCACTGCCAGACCTGAATCCATGCTACTGTCAACTTTCATGGCATCTGCCCTCCAAATGATTGCTGTGTTTCCATTCTTTTTTGTTTCCAATTCTTTACACAGCACTAAAATTGGTCTTGTCAAGTTTAAAATTGGATAGTGTCACTTCACTGATTAGATCTCTTCAATGGCTCCCCCTTGCATTTAGAATAAAATTCAATTTCCCACACTTTGACCTACAAACATGAGCTGCCTCCAGCCTCCAGCCTTCTCTTATACAATCATCTTACCTCGTGGAAGGCTTCTTTTCTGTTGTCTCTTTCTTGGAGGTGACTGGACAGTTCTTTTTCTTTTCTTTCCTAAAAAGTAAGAATACAGATCATCTTTTATAGCTACACACATAGATCTGCCGGCCTTATATGTTGACAATTTTCAGCTGTTACTTTTGGTCATCAAACCATGGTGTCCAGGAGGTCATTGATATCCTTAGGTAATGCTGCTACAGGAAGTCATGGGGGAAGAAGAAATTCTAAAGCGGCAGAGGAGGGAGAAATGTGAAGAAAAGGAGATAATGAGTTTAGGTAACTCATTACAGAAGCTTGACTGTGAAAAGGAAGGCGGCTATGGAGGTAGTTGAAGTGAGATGAGGATCAAGAGAAAGGTCCTTTTGGAGCTGGGATAGGCTTGGGCATTGGCTGGATGCAGGTCCTTACGAAAGGGGAAAGAAGCGATCATAGATACGTCGGGTAAGGTGGAAGGACTGCCTTAAAGAGGAGGAACCAGAGAAGAGGGGACAGATGCAGTTAGGGTTTGTGGGGTTTGTAGCCCAAACTGAGAAGATTTCCATCTGATTCCTTTCCATGAAGTGGGAGGCAAAGTAATCTTTTGAGGAAAAAGGAGGCAGTGGAAAGGTCAGAGGCCTGAAAAAAGAGAGCTCAAGGTTTGAGAGGAACATCACAGGAAGTGGAGTTGTCACGCAGTGTGGAGGGATCATTTGCACTGGAATCGTGAAGGCACAGTGGCTGGCCTCTGCCCTCCTGTGTGCTTCTCCCCAGCAGTGCCTGCTTTCAGGTGAGGTTGCAGGGTGCAGACAGGTGCCTACAGGTGCCTACAGGACCTGCCAGAGAGTCCTGGAAAAGACAGAGTCAAGGCACGTTAAGTATCAGCAATGTCACTTGAAACAAAGAATCTTGGACTCTAAGCTGGTATGAAGGAACATGAAGCAAGGCCGATGATGGCTTGAAAAGGGGAAAGGCTAGTGCACTGGTCATTCAAATGCAGCTGAAGGACAGCTACTGAGGGACCATATTGTAAGGAAGAAATAAGGGCAGGACATTTTTGAATTAATTTTTCAAGGTGGGGCTGAGTAGGAGAGATCAGAGTTTGAATGATTGCTGTAGAAGGAGCAAACTTCAAGGATTTGCTGTCAAGAAAAGGAATTCTTAAATTAATGATGGGGAAGTTGAACCAGGTTTGAATAAAGCAAGGGCCTGTAGATTGCCTTTGGGTATGGGAGGCCAGGAATTGGCGGAGGAAAACGTTACTGGAAATGAGCAGATGCAGGATTAGAGAGGTCAGCGTGTTGGATGGGCCTGTTACCCACGTGTACCTTGAAGGTGTCCAGGATAATGGCAGGGCTTGAAATGACAGAAAAACTCTAAATCAGCCTTTGAGGTTGGCTGGGGAGTGCTGGGAAATTTGTGGATGATAGTGATGAAGAAGGAGTGAGGGTTTTATTCGAATGGTTAAGCCTCCAAAAAGAGGATGGGGGAGTAAGGGGCTGGCTGGGGGCAGTGGGTCACAAGGGGTGGACCTCCAACCTGCCTTCCAACATGAATTGAGTGATGGCAGAGACTAGGAAGACATGTCTTAAGAGAAAGTGGTGTCGTCTTAGGTAACCAACTTTCAGTTAAAGAAGGAGGTACGACTAACCCTCTAAGGAGTTGTAGACATAAGAGCTGTGGACATAGGAGAGCTTGGTGATTTCAGAACAGGCAGTTCCAATGGGTGCATATTTCAATGGCCCTAAATGCCTTCTGGTTTCTCTATCATCTTCATTAAGACCTTAAACGAAGATGCAGTGAATGGGAATTGCAGAAACAAGTCGTACTGAGTATCACAGCTACTATCCTACAGTGGGTGCTCATGACAAGTATGATCAGAAAAACAGAAACCAGCTCCAATTCCCCCTCCTGACATCTGCAGGAGAAAGGCCATCTTTACCTTTCTTTTGGGCAGGTGTGCTGGATGCCTTCTGGGGCTCTTTTGGGTCATTTGGTTCAGGAGCACCCTTTCTCACCACTGACAAAGGAAACAGGTCATTTCAGAGGTCAGAGTGGGCTGAAGGGAGATCAGCGGGAGAACAGGAGGGCGGAGAATATGCGCGGCCTGGGGCTGGGGACCTGCCAGTCTTCAGGGTTCCCTGGCACTGCCTCGATTCCATCAACTTGTGGTTATTGGGATCTTTGTGACTATCACAGAACTAGGGAACAATTGCCCTGTCGAGGAGGGCTCAGTTTGGCCCATTTAGATGGGCTCCCGTACTCAATGGAAGAGAAGTACAAGGCCCTCAGCAGCTCTCACTCAGGGAATGAGGCTGAGAGCAATGTAAGAGGCGACTGCGAATTCTGGTGGACACAGTGAAGGGGAATGTCTGCCATATGAAAAATACATGTTATTGCTTAGATGCCTGTACAGGGATATTTTTAACCTGCTCTATCTATGATTATTTCACCTTGGAAAATAGGGAAGAAGGCTCAGTGCCTTGTATACTTTTGTATACAAGGACTGTCGGATCCAGGAGGAACCAGCCTGTGCTTGCTAGCACCTGTTAACAGTAAATAAATACAAAGTTCTTAGTTTTGGCTGCACTAGGAAAGATGAAAGGGCTCGAAGCCATAACAAATAAAGGCCCATCTCAGGAAAGGCTGTCATCGTCTTGTTTACACAATGCTGTGACATCCGTTTCAAATTCTGGCTAGCTTAGGAACAGGTAACTGAGGCAGGTGGCAAGCAGGTAACTAAGGCAGGTTGCTTGATCTTTTAACAATTGGTTGCATTTCAAAACATTTATTTTTTATTTTTTATTTTTTTATTTTTTTTTAGCTGAGCCATCCTGCCACCTTTTGGCAGCTCAGCGGCAACTCAGCTAGGGCCGGGCATTGAACCGCTGTTGCTCAGAGCTCAAACTCTTGAGCGAGCTCCTAACCAACTGAGCCACTCAGCCGGCCCTCAAAACATTTTTAATAATATCAATTTAAAAAATCCAAACATAGAAATGTTGAGGGTTGAAAGTTAAAGTCCCCCACAGTCAGGGCGGATGCAGTCAAGGGGGGCCATCCATGTCCCAGGGCGCCAGCTCAGCTTTAGGGCCACACCGTGATTTTGCTTGCTTTGCATTTCAATGGAGCAGTTTTCAGCTTTACCGTATTGAAGTGGCCTCAGAGAGTAGCTGTCCTTTGTGCCCCCCTCCATACCCCCCGGGGTTCTTGCCACAATCCCTCTGGCAGATGAATGTTCTCCCTTTGCAGACCCCTTAGAGGTGTTTGAGTCCAGATCCAGTGGGTAGTAGTGGGGCTCCCGTCCCTAGTCACTGGTGCTCCCTCCCTGTCCACCTTGCCGTCTCCAGGGACTCTGTCTCTATCCAGGAGCTCAGATCTCCCACCTGTCCAAGCTCCCAAAGGGCTGGGTGAGCAGCCAGAAGCTGGGCCATGATGGCGGTTGGCATCAGTGAGGAGAGCCCTGTCCCTAGAAGATTCAAATGGTGTCTCCTCTTTGTAGATACGAAAGCTAAGGTGGATTTAAGTCGTCCAGATCACGATTACCTGAGACATGGGCTGCGGGAGCGTGGGGCATCTCTTGAGCATCTTCTTTACCCTTTTTTTGGGAGGTCAGGTTGTCACTGGATGCTGAGCAGAGGATAAAAAGAATTTCAGGTCCCAGGACCAGCAAGCAGGTACCAGAGTGGGGGTAAAGAGAACAATCTAGTCTAGATGGCAAAAATGTTGGGGCCAATGGAACACTAGGGCCTGGTGAGGGTGGGATAGAGTGGGAGAGAGAATTATCATTTCCTTTTAATTGGCTACTAATTTAATGATGGGACTTACTTGTTTCTTTTTAAAATCTAGAAGGTGGACTCTTACACTGACTGATATTGCCTTCGTGATTATGTTAACCTTATTTAGATGGAAATATTAGAGGTGTGGAGGAAACATTATTTTAACCAACTAGGTACCCTTTATTCTCATAATTGAAGAGTTCAGAATTCATGATACCATTCTGGCAGCCCTCAATAATATGCCCCGTTATATTTCATAGACTCTAACTCCTTTGTAAAGATGGTTTGAGGTAGATAAGTGACACAGTCTTAGAAACTAAATCAGGTCCAGCAGACCTTTAAACATTTTATCATCTTTTCTAATAATTTCAATACCACTGCTCTTACAATTCAACCCATATGAAAATGAATATGGTTGAAATGGAAAGGTCCCGTAATCAGAAGGCAAGCAATTGAGTGAAGGTGGCAGGTGTGTGTGGCAAAAGTTACTTGTCAATCAGAATAGTGTGTTTTGACTGTTGGCTGGATGGAGCTGTTGGGCATCCCAGTATCCCACTGGCTGTGGTGGTGTCCCTGATAAGCAGCCCCTAGGCCCAGTTGGTGCATTGGTCCCCCTCTGTTTCTTTGTCTTTGTCATAGTTCCTTCTCTCAGGGTTCCTGCCACAAGCCCCCTGCTTGGCAGGTGCGTTTTCTCCCTTCACAGCCACCTTGAGCTAACCTGAGCCTGCCCCAAGGACATTACCTTGCACAGAAGTGTTGGGCATCTGCTGTGAGTCTTCTTCATCATTGATGTGGAATGTTAAGTTGGTCATTGAAGAGAGGAAGAAAAATCATTACGGGTTACAGTGATACAGTGCAGGGGGGGTGGAAGTGGGTGTAGGGTGGAGAGTGAATTGTAAAAATGCCCAGGGCAGGAGGAGTACCAAGGTCCACGGCAGAGGGCGGGGCTGTTCCAGGGGTGGAAGCAGGTGTTCTGGGCTCTGGCTTCACCCAGGCCCCTGGTAGTGTCCATAATCCTTCTTGGAGAAGGCTGTGAATGGGAGGTGTGTGCATGGAAGGTGCAGATGAACACAAAGGTGGGACCCAGGGGATCTAGACATGGCCACAGGCACCCTTGGCTGGGGATGCACAGGTGTTGGACAGGGTTTGTTTCTCACCTGGAGTGGTTCTTCCTTTTTGGATGATTGTGGAAAAAGCCTTGGCAGAGCCAACAGGCCTGGATGGCTCACCCAGAACCCTAGCGCTGTGCTGTTGGGATGCTCTGGGCTCACTGACTCTGGGTGTAGAGTTTGGGTGCCTCAGTGGGGGGTGCTGGGGTGGGAGCAGTGGCAGCAGGTTCTGTCGAGAGCTTCTTTCTGCTTGGTTGGCTGGGACTTCAAGGAGGGTCAGCGTATTTCTGTTCCCTCCTCCACAGGAACTGACAACTGGAATTGGGTTAAAACACACATGAGCACCCTAGAAACTCGGAATTATTTTGGGAAGGAATTTCTTTACACATGGCTTCCAGTAGGTCGGGGGCACGGTGCATGGAACCAATACATCATCATCATTATCGTCATCCATTTGTGGCCTCTTTCTAATTTATGGATTTGATTTGGGTATTCCATGCTATAATAACTGTATCTAACCACTGACCTAATACCAAAGTAGTTTCACACATAAAATTGAATTTCACTTTGTATTGAGGGATTTAATTTTCTTTAGTTTTCTATAATTTTGGTTTCAGAATTTATACAATTATGTACAATGCTATAATTGTAATAGATGCCCCGGTTTTAATAACTAAACATATCACACCTCCCTGTGACATTTCTTTGCATAGTGTATTAG